CTTATTTCACTTACATAACACTTTCCAGTTCTATCCACGTTGCAACAAAAGGCCATACTTCATTCTTTCTCATTGCCACATAGTATTCCATTGTGTATATAAACCACAATTTCTTTATCCATTCATCAGTTGATGGACATTTAGGCTCTTTCCATACTTTGGCCATTGTTGAAAGTGCTGCTATAAACATTGGGGTACAAGTGCCCCTATGCACCAGCACTCCTGTATCCCTTGGGTAAATTCCTAGCAGTGCTATTGGCGGGTCATAGGGTAGATCTATTTTTAATTTTTTGAGGAACCTCCACACTGTTTTCCAAAGTGGCTGCACCAGGTTGCATTCCCACCAACAGTGCAAGAGGGTTCCCGTTTCTCCACATCCTCACCAACATCTATAGTCTCCTGATTTGTTAATGATTATCTTTGAGAGAGAGAGAGAAAGAGAGAGAGAGAGAGCACAAGGGGGGAAGGGTAGTGGAAGAGGGAGAGACCGAATCTGAAGCAGGCTCCAGGCTCTGAGCTGTCAGCACAGGGCCTGACGCAGGGCTCGAACCCACGAACCGTGAGATCATGACCTGAGCCAAAGTCGGCCCCTTAACCGACTGAACCACTCAGGCGCCCCTCTTTTTTAAATTTTTGAACAAGCATGGGATTATAGAAAAATTGAATCATGGGGGCATCTGGGTGGCTCAGTCAGTTAGGTGTCCGACTCTTGATCTCAGCTCAAGTCTTGACCTCAGAGTCAGGAGTTCAAGCCCCATGTCGGGCTCCACACTAGGCATTGAGCTGCTTAAAAAACAAAAGAAAGACAGAAAAAAGGAAAATTGAAGTATTATTCGAAGAACTTTTTATTTTTTTAACCTCGGAGAGTAAGTTGACGATCTGATGCCCCATTGCCTCCAAGTGCTTCTATGCGTGCCTCCCACGAACAACCAAAATATAACTATCAAAATCAGGAAATTTCATCACATTACCAGATAATCCTCAGGCCTCATTCACCAAGTGTCCAAATGATGTCTTTTATAACAGAAGTGCGTTGCAAATCACATGTGGCTTTTAGCTGTCCCTTCTGTCAGGACTTAAGCTTTCCTTGACTTTAATGGCCTTGACACTTTTAAAGACTACCAGCCAGCCACTTTTAAAATGTCCCTCAGTTTGAATATTCCTGGTTTTCCTCTTGATGCAATCTGGGTTATGATCCAATGGAAAGGGTTCACAGATGGATTCTGTGTCCTCCTTGTGTCCTAACAGGTAGCACACAGTCATAGTTTGTCCCATTACCAATGATGTTGGTTTGGATCCCTTGATGAAAAAGGGCCATTCTTCTCCACTGCGAAGTTACCATTTACCCCTTTGCATGTAAGAAAAATTGGGTGTGGGGGTGCCTGGGTGGCTCAGTTGGTTAAGTGTCCAACTCTTAGTTTCGGCTCGGGTCATGATCTCATGGCTAGTGAGTTCAAGCCCCACATTGGGCTTCAAACTGACAGTGTGGAGCCTGCTTGGGGTTCTCTCTCTCCCTCTCTCTCTGTCCCTCCCCTGCTCACTCTCTCTGTCTCTCAAAATAAATTAATTAAATAAAAAGAAAAGAAAAGAAAAATTGTGTGGGAAGGTGCTCTTTTTGTTTAAGATAGGAAAGTGAGTATTTCAAATGAAGAAAAAAAATCACATTACCACCATATTTCTAGGAGTTCATATTTCTCTCAGCAGTGTGTACAGGTCCATCTTTTATCAGATTTATCCCTCACTATTTTGGATTTTTTGATGGTATTTTAAATGTCTTCCAATTGTTTGTTGCTATATTGTATATAGAAACACAACTGATTTTTGTATATTGATCTTATATCCAGCAACATTGCTAAACACCGTGCTAGTGAGGGGCAGAGAGAGAGGGGGAGAGAGAGAATCCCAAGCAGGCTCTGCTCTGCCAGCACAGACAGACCGATGCGGGGCTCCGACCCACAAACCGTGAGATCATGACCTGAGCCAAAAGTGAGAGTTTGTCACTTAACCGACTGAGCCACCCAAGTGCCCCCAACACCCTTGTTAGTTCTAGTAGCTTTTTTGTTTTTGTAGAATCCATACAATGCTTCATAAGGATGATCATGTTGTTTGTGAATAAAAGCAGTTTAATTTCTTCCTTTCAAATCTAGATGCCCTTCATTTCTTTTTCTTGCCTTCTTACACTGGCCAGTACTTCCAGTACAACACTGAATAGAAACTGTCCCCAATTTGGCCTATGAGAGCCCATTTAAGCTGGTCTTTGTGTCCTTCTGACGTACCCACATCATGCTTTTTTTTAACTGCCATCATCCTTGGAGAACTTTCTCATTCTCTGGCACAGAACTGCCTGGCCCTCGAATCAGACATTTCTCCAGGAGCCTGGTTTCTTTTAATGGAAAACAGAATTTAGAAGTCAAGATTCAGGTGCCAGGTAATCTCATTCACTGGGATGTCACTGTCCCCAGGATCTCTCAGTATCATACACGACACACACGCACACGCCACACACACACACACACACACACACACACACACACACACCAACCTCACACCAAGCTTTCTCTAACACCACTCACCCCCGAGTGGGTTCCTCTTGATGTCCTCCCTTTCCATATTCCCATGTCCTTTTTCCAACAATGGGAAGCCGAGCCTCCATTCTCCTTGATGTAGTTATTAATTTGATCAGCCCCCGAGGTGTAACCCTCACTGCATTTCTCCACCCTCCAGTGGACCCTTCTCACCCCACCTGAACTGCGACACCCCACACTGGGACGCCCCAGTCACCCTCGTCACTGTGGGGCCAACCCCACCCAGGCGGGCCCCAGGATGTTTGGGCTCTGACTCTGTGCCAGGCTATCGTCTGTGGGGACTCCTGTCTCCAGGCCCAGGCCTGTCACCTGTGCGGTGATGACCCCCCACAGGGACGGTCTCTGGAACCAGCCCTCCTCACCCCACATTAGGCCAGCCCCACCTGCTGGCTTCAGGTTTGAGTTGTTCTGGAAGGAAAGTAAGGAGCAGGGTTACATTCCTCTATCTTCGACTGTGGGCTGGACGCGCCTACACCCTTGACGTTGCTGTCTCAGTGAATCTGACGACAACCCTGTGGGGCAGGAACTATGATTACTGTACAGATGAGGGAACGGGCAGACAGACTTCCCTGCCCAGAGTCGCACAGCTGTGATGGTTGCTCTCGATCCAAAGCCACCGTTCTGAACCACAAAGCAAAGATCCTGCCCCACCTGATGAACCCTAGAGAGTTAATAGCTTTGGAGAATAATATGGTTTGATGCCCACTAATTAAACTCAGAAGAGCAAGTGTCTCCACCTCGTAAGATGTCCAGAAGATGAGAAGTGTGGGCCACTTGGTGATGTGAGCTGTAAACTCAGTGTGCGTCCGTGGGTCTAGTTTCTAGAAAACGCACAGGGAAACAGTTTCCAAGTGTGATCAGCCAGAAGGGCAGAGACAAACCTGAGAGAGAGCCTGATTTTCCTTCCTCTCAACTGGTGCTCAGTCTTTAGGAAGAAGAGGAATTGCAGGGAGGGAGCTGCCAAGTGCATCGGCCTCTGGATGCCTCGTTGAATTTTCAGGGGGAGAAGCCTTTTCTGGACACCGCAGAGGTGGGCTTTTGACTCTGGGCCCCCATTACTGTCATTACGGTTCTGGACGCCTCGGGGGTGGTTTCTAGAATCAGCATCATCTGAGGAAGTATTAGAAAGAGCACGAGCTGAGGGTTGAGGCGTCCCAAGTCTGCACCTGCCCTTGGCCGACTGTGGGAACTTGAGGCAAGTTCTTTAGCTGCTGTGAGGCTGCTTCCTCCC